AGTTTGAAAGGGAGTAAGGGGGTTGAGGGAGAGAGAGAGAGAAATAATACAAAACACTGATGTATTTACCGAACTATGATGACCATGATTGGTAATGTATCTACCATTCATATAAACACATTCCCAGCCTATCCAAGATTTCTTCTTTATATTAATCTTCAGGAATCAAAGAAAATTCGAAACACATCAATCCAACTTGGCTTAACCAAAAAAAAAAAAAAAAAAAAAAAAAAAAAAAAAAAAAAACACGTACTCTCACAAGGATTGAGTTTCACCAATAGGATTCCTTGTGCAAAATAGTCTGACTTGTCATACAAAATTCACAAAATTCGAAAAAAGCAAACCTGTAAGCAGACACCAGGCGAATGAAAGGGTGTCTGGCGATCATGAAGACAACAGGAAGCGGTGGCGACTCCATGGCGGCGCAGAGGGCCTGTGCGTCCAGTCTAAGGAGAGAAGGTGAGGCATAAGTATAGTATTAACAGATGATTTTTTTTATCTGTAGTTCATGATACCGAGTAAAACGTGGTGTTAATGGGCGATCTATTATCCAATCATAGTTTCTGATACCGAACAATATGTGGTATGAATGGCGATCTATTATCCAATCATAGTTTCTGATACCGTGGTATTAATGTGCGATCTATTATTCATTCATAATTTCTGCTATCGAATAAAATGTGGTATTAATGGGCGATCTATTATCCAATCCTAGTTTATGATATCGGACAAAATGTGGTATCAACAGACGACTTATTATCCAAAGTTTATATGATACCGAAGATAATGTGGTATAAACAGACGGTCTATTGCCCATGGTTCACGATACCGAAAAATGTGACCATAGTAAGATCAATATTAGCTTAACTGTATTCATGTTGACAAATGTAGAAAAGGTATGGGTGAGAATGAATATCTTCACAATACAAGAGATGTATTTGACCGGTTTCGATTATATTTTCCTCAGAAATACATGTATTTAATGTATTTAAAGATATAATGGAAACAGGTCAAATAAAATCTCTCGTATTGTGAAAATATTCATTCTCATTCATACCTTTTCTACATCAATATTAGTTATATCATGAATTAAATGCTGATACACCTACACTATTCATATACATCACATCACCAAGGTAAACACACGAGCCACCTACCTCGGATACTTCTCGCGAGCCATTCTTAAAGGATCATTAATATTTTCCAACAGTTCCTCTTCAGTGTATCCTGCAAGAATGTTGAAATGCCATAACCAAGAGGAAGAGGCGGCCTTGAAGACGTTGCACCATACGAGACCGTGTTCTTTGTTGACCAGAAATTCTTTGGAGTTTATGGCTTGCCCTTTCGAGGTGTTGAAACCGTACTTGCGGCAGACCTTGTGGTGAGTTAGAGAGGTGGTGCCAATTTGGAAATTAGAAAATTGTTGATGTCCTTACTGTTATATCTTATCATTTGGTTTAATAATGAGAGAGAATGGTGATGATGATGATATTTATATGCATAATCATCATCATAATCTGCCATCCTCTTAATCATCATCGTCGTCATCATCATCACTTCATCTTCATTATCTTGATCATAGTCATTCATCATAATCATTACTTCATCATCATAATCATCATCATCACCATCATTATAAGTATCATACTAATAACAATAATAATAATACGAATAACAATAACAATAATAATAATCATGACAATGATGAGGCTACTATTGCTATTAATAATAACACCAATGTTGATAATGAAAGGGATGATCATAATAATAATAATAATAACAATAATGATAATAATAATGATACTAATGATAATGATAATAATAATAATAATGATAATAATAATAGCAGTAACGATAATTACAATGATAATAATAATAATGGGTTACTACTGATGATACTAATGATAACACCAATGTTGACGATAATGATAGGGATAATGATAATAATGATAATAATAATAATAATAGTAATAATAACAATAATAACAATAATGATGATAATAACAATAATAATGATAAAAATAATAATGATAATATAATGACAATGATAATAATAATAATGATTATAATAATAATGATAATAAAAATAATAATGATAATATAATGACAATGATAATAATAATAATGATTATAATAATTGATAATGATAATAATAATAATAATAATAATAATAATAATAATAATAATAATAATAATATTAATAACAATAATAAAAATAACAACATTCATAATAATGACAATAACAATGATAATAATAATAGTAGTAGAAATCACAATTGATAATAATACTAATGACAATAATAATAATAATGATAATAATAATAATTTTAATAATCATGATAATAACAATTATAATAATAATTATTATTATTGTTGTTCTTCTTCTTATTATTATTATTATTATTATTATTATTATTATTATTATTATTATTATTATTATTATTATTATTATTATTATTACTATTATTATTATCATTATTATTATTATTATTATTATCATTATTATTAAAATTATTACAACAACAACAATAATAATCACATAAATAATAAAGATGATAAAGATGATAATGGTAATAAGGATAAAAATAATGATAATGATTATGATTATGATAATAATGATGATAATGATTATAATAATGATAATCTAATAAATAATAACAATAGCAAAAATAGTAATGATAAAAGTAAAAACAATATGCGAAGATAATGAAAATGCTAATGCTGATTATAATAACACTAATAACAATGATAATACTGATAACGGGGATAATGATTATGATGATGATGATGATATAATAATAATAAAAAGATAATGATAATAAAGATAATAATAACAATAATAATACAAGCATTACTAACAACAACAACAATAATAATACGAGTAATAATAATAATGAAGATGATATTAACAACAATAATTATAACAATAATGATAATTGATGCAATAATAGCTATACACTACTAATACTACTACACCTACTAGTATTATTATTAAAAATGAAGATAATAATAATGATAATAACAATACTTATAATTATAATGATAATGATAATAATTGTAATGATGATAATATTACAATGATGACAACAATAACGATACTGAATATAGTAATGGTAGCAACAATAATTAGTAACAATGATCATAATAATAACATAAATGGTAGTAGCAGTCATAATGATGATGATAATACTAATAATGATAGTAATAGTACCAATGATGATGATAATGATAATGATAATAATGATAATAATAATAATAATAATAATAATAATAATAATAATAATAATAATAATAATAACAATAACAATACTACTACTAATAATAATAACAACAATAACCGTAGCAATAATTGTAATAATAAAGATAATAATAATAATGATCATAACAATACTAATAATAATGGTGATAATAGTTATAATAATAATGATAATAATAACAATAACAATAATAATAACAAAAATGATAATAGGAATTGTAATAATAACAGTAATGATTATAATAACTGTAATAATATTAATGATGATAATAATATTATTGCAGTAACAATATTGATGAATGTTATAATGATAATTATAATAATTCGTATTAGAGAGAGAGAGAGAGAGAGAGAGAGAGAGAGAGAGAGAGGAGAGAGAGAGAGAGAGAGAGAGAGAGAGAGAGAGAGAGAGAGAGAGAGAGAAGAGAGAAAGTGAAAAGGTAGTTTACCATAGAATCGGTTGTTGCCCAGTCCAACAGCAGACCATAAGTTAAGGGGGTTGCGTTGCGAGACAAGTCCTTTGTGCCTTATGTTTATTGTGGAAGAATAGCAGTTTAATCTACGTGAGGCGGTTGAATATACGTGTATGTGTGTGCGTAGCAGAGAAATAAGGTAAGTGCGAAGAGCATATTGTTTGTATTAGTTAATATGATATATACTAGGGAGAGAGAGAGAGAGAGAGAGAGAGAGAGAGAGAGAGAGAGAGAGAGAGAGAGAGAGAGAGAGAGAGAGAGAGAGAGAGAGAGAGAGAGAGAGAGAGAGAGAGAGAGAGAAATTAGAAAATAACAAAAAATTACCTCATTTACACGTTGTCGTCTGTGCGTTAATCGTTCTTCTAGACCCTGATTGGGAAACAGCTTCGTAGGTAGAGCAGCTTCTTCGACCTTTGTGTAAAACCAACCATGTTAACTGTAGCTACAAATGCATATATAAGAAAATAAGCTTGGCCTTAAACTTTCAACATATTTTTAGGTATATAGATAGGTAAACTTAAATAGATATACATAGATAAATGGATAGATACACATAGATAAATGGATAGGATAAATGGATAGATATACATAGATAAATGGATAGATATACATAGATAAATGGATAGATATACATAGATAAATGGATAGATATACATAGATAAATGGATAGACATACAGATTAATAGATAAGGTCATAGATAAACTTACATAGCGAGAAATAAAAAGAAAGAGAAGTTTCACATTCCACGAAACTGCATCGATATTATTTAGTCCTAGGAATTAGCTCCAGATCCGCGAGGTAAACTTAAAACTGGCTCTGATGTAATTATGTAGGTTACATATGACTGTCAAGCCTATGGCCATGTGGACGATAAGATTATGACAAAGACATGCCAAGATAGCTAAGATGATGATACTTATATTTGATCTGACAATGGATAAGAATAAGTTATAAAAAATGTAATGCGTATATGTTATGTGATCAGAGAAGTTATGGTACAGGTGTGTTAATATTTTATTTTGATGGTTAATACTGTAATTTGGCATGAGAGGAATTTCAGAGTTTTTTTTCAGATTTTCATTTAATTATAAATTGTTATAGGTGTAACTGTTAAGGTTAAGTGTGGGCATTAATACAGAGAGTATTTTGGATTTAGTTCACTTTTTCAGAGCGGCCTTTTTATTCTACAATATGAAATAATGTGGTATCACAGATTATAAGCTATCTGGAATCATTTCCTGGACTTAAATCATTTATGAAGTCGGAACTGATAAGATATGGATGAAATAGAAGATTATGGGGAATCAGAGAGAGAGAGAGAGAGATAGAAAGAGAGAGAGAGAGAGAGAGAGAGAGAGAGAGAGAGAGAGAGAGAGAGAGAGAGAGAGAGAGAGAGAGAGAGAGAGGGAGGGGAGGAGGGAGAGAGAGAGAGAGAGAGATGAACAGATTAGATGTACGTAAAGAGCATATCAAATGTATTAAATATTAAAATACAACAATAACGCAATACATAATTGATATAATGAATACCAGAAAGAGTGGGAGAGAAAGATAAACAAATAGATGGATGATGTGTGTTTGTGAAAAAGCGAAGACAAGAAGACAACGAACGAATTAAGAACACCACATTCACCCAACTCGATTACGAGAATAAATTAAACGGAGAGATCAAAACACGTTAAAACACACACACACACACACACACACACACACACACACACACACACACACACACACACACACACACACACACACACACACACACACACACACACACTGGCTTCTTACCATCATCTTCTTAGGCTCCATAGTCTTCAGGTGTTTGTGGAGTGACACGCAGAGTAGAAGTAACAGCACAATGGATCCCTTCCTCAGTAGACTTGCGATGATTGCCATACTGCATGTACTCTAGGGTTCCATCTTTTAAATATATATGGTTATGGCATTAACTTATATGTTAAACGTACGTGGATTTTTTACATATATACTTAAAACAGCATTACAAATCGGCAGGAAGGTAGAAATACTATCTAAGTGCAGTAAGACATTATTATCATTATATGTATAATTATAATCCTTATAATCATTATTATAATAACAATCATTACCATTATTACAAAGAGAAGCTAGAAAAAAACGTTACAATTTAACATCATAGACAGTTATGGTAATAACTTATACGTTAAAGGTACATGTTTTTTTTTTAACCACCGCCGTAAACCAGCGGTGTTTTTTAATGCATTTTAAGCAGTGACTGAATCTTGCAATATGCTAGTGCATAACGTAACTAATGAAAGTGGCAGCCGTAGTTATATTTTCCTCTCTCTCCTGTGTATGTTTTGGCTGTAATGTAGTAGCATGAATCGACAAGAAGAAAGAAATGCAAACAAACTGCAATAAGACATGCAAAGATATTGACGTTGCAAAGAAACTCAATAAATATTCAAATGACATCTTAATATAAGTATTGATTCCAAATCAACCAATAACCAAAGACTAAGCCACTCAACATATATATAAATTTTCCTTATTCACTGAATTTTAATATCACATAAAACACTTATTTATTAATTAAAGGAATGGGAGAAGTAAATGGAGCAGGAATTTACCGTAAAAAATGTATTTGTCATATAAGTGTAATTGTATATTTCTAGAAATTAACTTCCGCGTCAACTGATAACGTCAGTAAATGGCTTAAGTTACTTAGTACAATGTAATCGGATGATGAAGTGTTGCCTTGCAAGTCATACTTTCCTTGAATAAACATTTCCTAAGCAGATTATACAGATAATCGGCAAAGATGAAAATCAGTTTCTCGTTATATTCATATCTATATCTGACTTAAATGCTCACATAGCGTCACATAATCCTTCTTTTTATTTTTATTATTATTATTATTATTATTATTTTACATATTTCTGTTTTGAAAGCGTTTAATCTCTGAAGGCTTAGTTGTAATGATGACAATTATTTTATTTTAAATGGACTATATTTTATGGTGTCAGTGATTTCATCAAACTGTATATGTGTGTATGTGTGTGCGTGTGTGCTATAATCATATAGCTTATTTTGACAATATGAAATATTCAGAAAGACCCGCGTTTTCAGTAAAATCACATTGGCCACTCATTATTTTCTTTTTTTGACGTTGATTGCCCGAATAACTGATCGTTTATATCCCTGTACGAGTCTCAAGCAATTGACATGTGCATTCCACTTTCCTTAATTTCACACTGTCTTCCTTAAGATAGCATTTTGTATGAATGCAAAATATATCAATTGAAAATGCACGAGAAACACTACCACATACGTAGTTCAGTTCTGTTAGATTTGTGAAATCTATATTTATCCACGACTTCGCCATGTGGCCCAGATGAACACCCGATAGCATTAAACTAACATAGCTCTTATACTGAACACTCACTAGTTCCTGACTGTGGCCCTGCTAGACAAATACCTGATGGCACTAATCAATATACCTCTTGTACTGAACACTCACTAGTGCATGACTAGCCCGGCTAGACAAACACACGATTGCACCAATTTGATATAGCTCTTGTACTGAACACTCATTAGTGCCTGACTGGGAAGAGGGCTAGCTCGCTCTCCTTTCGCATTCTGATAATGAAAGTCCGAGCAGATAAGATATCTTAGATTTGAAAGCTTCTTATCGTGTCTTGGCCCTTGTGCAATGCAGGCGACTGTGGGGCAGGCTTTGGCTTGAAAAAAGTGAATCCATTCTAAGTGACTAATTTTTTCTTGATGTTCTG